TTTGTTTTCATTTCATCATTGTTGCGTAATTCCTCTACCCATCTGAAACGTTCTCTGAAAACCTCAACGTCGTTCAAAATATTTTCAATCAAATTATTACTTAAATCGGTCAATTCCAAAATATCAAAAGTTCTCTTTAATCTGCGATTAAGAGCCATTAAATCAGTACCCTTCATACGATCCATAATATGACTGGCAAGGTTAAATAACAATTGATAAGGATTTTGATTTTGAAGAGATTCAGTAAATTGAGATTCATTTTTAGATCCGTCAACATCAGTAGTAATAATTGATGGTAAGTGAAGAGGTGCTCGATTAGTTGTAGTAGTGGTCTGGCAAGAATGTACTGATTTTGTACCAGAGTCTGTCAATCCATGTTGAACTTCATGAGCAAAAGCAGCAGCTTCAGCAGCAGAAAGATTAGTCTCATCTACCAAAACCTCTTCAACAAATACTTTGATTGGAGAATTGGGCATATCCTTCCAATTTTTGCCCTTTATTGTAGCAGAATCACTAGCATTATCAATGGTTAATTGTTTTTTAGTTGCTGCTTTATTACTAAATTCACCATTTTCTACCGTATTACTTTTTTGCTGTTGTTCATTAGCAACACCAGCACGCCAAGCCTCCATCATTATTTTTCGTTCTTTGGGTCCAAGGGTTGCAAATTTTGGATTTTTGAAGGCTGGTATAGTAGGTTTCGTTGGTAATACATTAGAATTTTGAGCCACGGCAGGTGAACTAGAAGATTGAGGATTCTCAATCGCTATTGAATTCGTAACATTTGAAGCATTACGACGATGAACAGCCAACGGAGATGATTGCGATGGTTTATGTTGCTGGACTGAAGTTGTACCTGATAATATTTTAGACGAATTCACTCGTTTCGAAGAAAGATTTGATTGGGGAGTTTTGCGATGAGGTGTGTCTTTCTCAAAAGCTTTCTTTGTGGAAGATTTGTCGTCTTCTTGTTCGTCTTGGGCTTGATTTGTTGTATTGGACTTTTCTGCTGCAGACCTCATGAGACCAGCGGATAATAAAGAAACACTCGATTTTTTCTGTGAATTAATACTATCCACTGAAGAAGCTTTAGAAGTTTCTAATTTAGTTATATCACCTTTTTTAATAATAGTACTGTCAGACTTGTTGGTCATATCATCACCCTAATTAATGACAAAATTTTCATGATACAAAAATAAATTAACAAGAATTAAATTGATGACTATATTTAATAAGTACAGACCTGTTCTGATGCACTATAATCTTCCTCAGATTGAGTAAATTTCTTTTCTGCAACATCAGAATGGGAGATATTTTCATCTTCAATCCTTTCATCGAATTCAGGGATTGCTTTCCTGCTTTTTCTAGAGACGCGTACGAGTTTAGGTCCCTTAGGCTTTGGCTTTTTAAAGTGTTTTTCCAGTTCACCAAATACATTTCCTCGTATATCATTATTTTCGTTATGATAGTGATGGTGGTGATAATGGTAGTGATGATGAAAAGGATTCGAACTGGATAACACCGATGAAGAGACGACAGATCCTACAGGAGAATGTACAGAAGGATCAACGCCCAAGCTATTGAACGTGTTATATGAACCAGGACCAAACGAAGATGACAAAGCATTGGGTGACAGAAGTGGATTAATTGATCGAGCGGCAGTACCAGATATATTATTTGACATATCTCCAATTTCTTCCATAAATACGCTAGTAGAACTAGGTTGAGTTTCTTCCATTTCGTCATGAATCGGCTGCATAATTGTGTTGAACGGTGTTGCTGATGCATAGCTACCAGGATACAAATAACCAGCAGCACTTGCTGTCTCGAGATCTTCAATCCTACATTGCAAACTGCTCACCTCATTACGAGATTCAGAAAGGAGATCACGATATTCACCAATCTCCGACTTTAGTTTATTATTTGCTGATGAGAGTTCTTTAATAAGAGCAATAAGATGAGTGTTGGCCTCGTTATTAGGATTTGGTAGAGATGACTAAAGAAAACAAAGTGATATGCATGATAAGCATTTAAATTTTACCTGAACCATTAAATTAAAATAAAATTAGGAATAAATGGATTACGAACTTTTGATTCGCGAAGCATAGCTACTGCTTCTAATTTTCCTTTTGATTTTTGAGAACCTTGTTGTTCCCTTTCTATTTGCTCATAACTACAGTAAAGTTGATCTAATTTTTTTTTTTTTTTTTTTAAAGAAAAAAAAAAATGAAAAAAATTACATTAACGCTTATAATATATTATATATTATTTTAAAAAAATAAACGTAAATTTATGACAAATCACCATATTTTGTCTGCAATTTTTTTATCTTTGATTCGGCGGCAAACTCCGCTTTTCTAGATACTTGAAGCTCTTGCTTCAAATCTTCCAATTGCCTACTTAACATTTCTTCTCTTTCCTCAATTCGTTCACCCATAAGGTTATTTGCCATGAGGCGTTTTAATTCATTATCAAGTCGTTCAATTTCATTTGTTAATTCTACAACTCTTTTATCACTAGACTCGAGTGCCTCTGTAAGCGCTTCACCTTTCTATTATCGAACAAAAGTTTTGGTCACGTGAGAATTGTAAAAAAAATTTTTTTTTAATAATAATAGCATGTTTAAAAATAAATTACATTCTCCAAAATATTCTTCTGTCTTGTAGCATCATCTCTTTCAATTTTCAAAATTCGTTGTGAATCTTCGAGTTCATGCACTAAATCTTCAAGTTCCAAAATTTTTTGCTGGGAACGCGCATACTGCATGAACAATTTTGGGAAAATACATACGTTATATAATATGAAATTTTTAACATAATTAACCATAAAAATACGCCTCATACCTCATTTATATCATTTATAGACTTGGTTTCTAAAGAGTTTTCTGCATTCAATAATTTCTTCTAGAGGCAATCTCAATGGATAATGAATTTTTGTAATTTCATTTCAAGAATTATGTAATATATTAGTTTAGGTTCACCATGTGATCAAAATAAGATAGTAAAATATAAAAACCTGATGTTGTTCTAATTGTTCTAATTGTTCCTTATACTCTTTTATTTCTTGTTGATATACCTCTTGTTGCTGTAAAAGTGCTTGTCCAATCTCTGAAATTAAGAATAATGAGTTGAGAATTATTATCTTGGTTTTTTTTTTTATGATCTAAAATTTTTAACGATATGCGTTTATATCTATTATCCATTTTTAGCATCAACAGATCAATCAAATATCATATCGATCATGAAACCTATTGAAACCTATTGACATATTTTAGCATTATACTTACCAGCAGCTAATCTTAGGTGATCTTCGATGGACTTTAAACTTATTAAAAATGCTGCAAGGTTTGGGCAATCGTCGTTACCACAACAGCATTGAAGGCGCACAGGTGACCTTGACGGTGAAAGAGTGTCCCACAACTGAGCATTAGGTTGAAGGTCAAACCGAGGCACACTATTATTAGGAGATCGCATTGGAGTAATTTTTGAATTTTCATCGTCACTCCGATTTCCCTTTGCTTGCTGTTCTTGTTGTGTAGATTCAAGTCGGCGAGACAGATCGGTGGGATTTGGTACCGTACCAGCCAGCTGTGAAGTTGAACCCTCCGGACTATTATAATCCATTTTTATTAAATTTCTTAGTTCGAAAACAAAAGATTGAGTTATTTAAAAGTAGTTTTTGAAGTAAGTTATCTTGCGTTGGGTGTTGGGTTGCGGTGGACAGAGACACGTTGGATGTCGGTGAATCTATCACCCCAACGCTTAAAAAGAAAAAAAAACTGTTTCCTATCCTTTTCGCAATAATTAGCCTCGTTTTTACGATGAATACGTAAGTAAACTAATATCAGAGCTCTTTTGAGCATATACACTTTCCAGATTTGCTCGTGTAACCAACTAAATGGCGCAAACATTATCAAAATTGAATTGTGTAGTATAATAAATTGAAGGTTTTGTATCCCTATTTTTGCATAAGTTTTATAATCTTTTTAAACAATGCGGTCATCAGTTTTCGACTTCCCGCATATACACAGTGCGTTCGTTATCACTTGGGTTATCTCTTTGAAAATTTCATTATAGGGGCAGAACACTTTCTGATTCACGTAGAATTTAAACAAATTTGACTAATTATAAAGTTGATGGACGTGCTCGACCACTCCAGAGTGCCATGCTTAGCCCCAAAAATGTTAAAATATGCAGGGTATTGACAATGTACAGCTATTCTGGTCGTAATTTTAGTAGTGATCCATTCATTTGATCATTAAAGTTTTTTTTTTTGGGTGATGGCAGATTGTAGAAATAGATTTCGCCGGATAGCGACTTATTCATTCAAGATGTACATGTGAATTAATATATATGGATAAATATAAAATTTGTTGAACAATTAGTATAAAGTTGAAGAATGTGAATTTATAATAGAAGTCTTTGTTTTTTTTGTTATTATTATTGTTGTGATATTGTTTCTATAGAATTCGATAATCAAATAACAACCATGCAGATAAATTTTTGTGAAACATCAAGTCAAATATTCAAAGCTTATTTAGGTTCTTCATTTTTTTTTTTTGTTTAAATTACATAATATAAATAAATTTCCCAACACCACACTATTATTAATTTATTAATTATCCCAACATTTTTGAAAAAACGGTGTTATTGTCTTTGTCTTGACAATCAAGTTTAATCATATGTTTATTCGGTGTTGTATTTAATTTGACATCACACTACGTAACATTTTAACAATGTTATTAGCAGTTAATGGACATTATTATTTATCATTATAGTTACACTATTGATTTACTGTATTATGTTATCGTTATTATGTTTAACGTTAATAACTTGGTGAAATAATTTGTTATACGTATAGTTCCGTAATTAACAGTAATTTATATATTAGTACTGTAAAATATTTATTATCGTTATTATATTATTAAAAAAAATAAAACAAAAGATTAATAAATAAAACAAAAAAGAATATTTATCAAATATATAGTATAATATCCAAGTTATTTGTAAAATTAATTTATTAAGCTATTTCAAAAGTGTTTAAATACTATATAATCTGTTATATCATAATAAGGCTATACAAAAGGTTTATATAACCTGTTCGAGTCGAAATTTTCAAACTTTTGAAACTTTTTTTTATATGTTATAATAACCGAGTGGTTTTTTTAAAAAAAGCCAGATTGCCGGGTCTGTTAGAAAATTTTATAAAAACCAAAAAAATTATTTTGTATAGTCTAATTATTTTTTAACAAAATTTTTTAGATTTATTATAAAAATTTATAATTATATATAAAGTATTTGAAACATATATTTAGTTTAGAGTTAAAGTAAGATTTTTTTTTTTATTATTAAGGTGGCTCCCTTTGCCGATTAGATTTTATTAATTTGTTATTACAGAACTACCCTAAGGTAGACTTCTAAGGTTTTACAGTTACATGATGAGTGTATAACAAGCCACATATACAACTTTAGTCATTGTCTAATTTTAGTAGTCCGCCATGCAGACGATCGACCATCTGTTGGTTCTACACTATGCTGCCATACCTGCAACCTGCCTGTGGATTACCTATTTAAACACTCTGATTATTAATCCTTCCTCTCATTTCAAACTAACGTCATCACTATGGCCAACTGTTTAAGCCAGCTAGCTCACCTGTGAATTTATTTACTGCATGACTTAGGTCCTTTCAGAATGTATATGCCTAATGTATTGTGAGTCGCAAAGCTCTGGTTAATCTCAGAAGTATACCTACTAGAGCGGTCCATGCCTATTTCACTGATTTACCTAGCTTAGACCCTTGTAGATGTTCACACAACCCCAGTTCCTACTGTAGCTCTCCACTGGTATGTGTTAATCGATTTCTCTAGATATTTCACAAATTAGATCCTCCCAAATCCAGTTAGCCGCCAAGCCAGGTTGGTGCTGCTGATCTTTACCATAGATACAGACTTACTCGTACCTATCCTAATCTACATCCTTTGAAACAGTTTCTTTTCGGATCAAGCGTTAGCTAGTATGACTGTTGAAAGCTGTACTCCCTTACCTACTCGAGATTTCTACTATGCAGGTCTCTTGCCCATACATCCAATACAGATTTATTCGTGTAATATTATGTCACACTCCCAATGTCAACGATTGACTTGGTGCAATGCCATTTTTTACAGGGTTTTGTCATATCCCTCAGGACTCCTTTTTCGGGAACGGGCAGAGTTTTCCGTAAGTTTGGTACATAGGTCTAGGTATTATTCAAATTCGTCGATAGTAGGATTTGAACTCCAGACTTATTACATGACGGTCCGACAACTTGACCACTATACTAGATCGCCGGACCTTTGAGTTAAAGTAAGATTTAAGATTTTATTTAAACATTAGTTTATATAAAATTTAAAAAAAAAAAAGTTTATTAAAGTTTCAAAGTAATTTTTTAGACAAATTTTTGAGATATTAGCTTTTTTAAAAAAAATTTTTTATTTTTGTTAAGTTATACAAAAAAAAAAATTTATATATTATATTTATTTTAAATTTTAATTAGCTTTTTTATTTATTATTTTTTTTTTTGTTAATTTTACTGTTATTTTATTCAGAAAAGCTTATATGAGCTAAAAAATGAATTACTATTTAAAAAAAAATAATAAAATATTTTTTTTTCAACTATTTTGGATTTACTTAGCTATCTTAAGGTACTTAAGTATAATCTGCTATAATAATAATTTCTCTTACAAAAACTTTAGTCTGCAAATACAAACTCTAGACTTTTAATCTATAAGAAGCTACTACTAGTCTATATCAAGATTATTTATTTTGTTTTAATTTTAATCTACTTCTTTTTTTTACCTGTTTTTACCTATTTGTTAACTTTGTTTAAAGTTTTTTTTTTATATTTTCATTTTTTTTCTTTTATTTTTTCTTTTTTTATATCACAAGACTATATATTTTTCTTGTTTTCATTTTTATTTTTGTTTTATTTTTTCTTTTTTTCTTTTACTATGATATTATTTTCTTTTTCTTAGTCTACTATAACTTCATAATGAAATTTCTATAGATATTTATAAAAATATTCTCAAAAATATTTTATAAACCTAATTAAGATCTTATTTGTTTTTTTTTTTAACTATATTATTTTGCTTAGACTTATTAGCTATTTAATACTTATAAGTTTTTTTAGATATATTTTTCTATTATATAGTTTTTTTTTAAATTCTGTACTGTAAATTGTTTTTTTAAAAGAGTTTTCACTAAATACTAATTTAGTTTTATTAAGACTTCTAAACTTGTTAACTATATAGCTTTTTTTTCTAGTTTTTTTCAAATTTTTTAGTAGATTTTATATTTTGCTAGATAGTAAAAGTTTTTATTTTTTTTAAAACATATTATATACTTTTGGCTTTTATAGAATTTAGAATTTTTTAGATAGCAAATATCTTTTATAAACAGAATCTTATTTATATATTTTATATAAAACATAAGTATCTTACTCTTTTTTAAACTAATATATTTTTTTCTTTGAATTCTTTTAAGCAGATCTTATGTAACCTTCTAATTTAGCTTTGTATCAGAGTTAGTATTCTAGTTAAAAATTAAAATTTCTACTATTTTACTTAGATTTGTTTATTCTGTTTTATATACTATTACTATAATAATGTTTATAAAAAATCTAAATAGATTTTTAATTATTTAATTTTCTATTTAGGTATAGCTTATAGATTGCTAAATATTGTTTTAGATATATTAAAGTATATAAATCTTTTTAATTAATTTTATATAATACTAAATTCAATTTTTTTTTTTGTAATAGCTTTTAATTTATCTTATTATACTTTTATTTTTTATTTTAAACTAACTACATATTTTAATATTTGTATTATCTTTCTCTAAAGCTTTTATTTTAGCTTTGCTATCTATATTTTTTTTTTTTTGGAACTTAGGCGATCTTGCCCTTCATTTATTGAGAGAAAACATAAAATATGTTATAACAAAAAT